CTCAATTGTCGGAAAGATACTGGTAATAACTAATGAATATGGATGACTTATCACTTTTGTTGACTAAACCACTTGGAACAGTTTTATTCTTTAATCATCTTCCCACAAAGACTCCCTAATTTTCCACTGGGGCAAGTGAATGCAAGGATTCCCTAAACCCTTCGTTTTCATCTGCGGTTTCATTCGCTAGGCGCTCGCTTCCTTTGGGCGAATTGTTCATTAGAATCTGATCTTCCCAAATGTTTATTTTCACAAATACATAGATATTACTCTCAGTAGGAGATTGATTTTTCTCGATTTTTAGCATATTGTCTGAAATAATAAAAAACAGTAAATAGGACTGTAGATCTTTATATCACTTTGCTCGTTCGTCTCATCTACCACCTCACATTTACCGACTAACTATTATGTTGTTCCACAGGAACAAGTTCGATGCAACCAAATTGTGTGTCACATTCGCATTCAAACTCCTTCCTGAGGTTGCAGCTCAAAGATAAATTTTCTGTTTCTACAATCGCATTCTGCGTTTAGTCTTTCACTTGTTTCTGTGGAACAGCAGAAATCTTTCGCTTGAGCAGGATCTTGATGCAAAGAGTTCGTCCGGCTTGGCTGCAAACTGGGGGGATAAAGTCAATTATGAGCGCATTCTGTTAGCAATTTGTTGATTCAGGTCACTTAGGGGACTTGATCAGTGGGTTTCACCCTTTCTACCAGGTTTGTGAACAACAATATAAGCGGATTAAACATCGCATTCTGATCACAGCGGAAGCAGTGGGATTTCACATAGAAAAACCACTTTTAATGCCCCCAAAACAATTTATGTAATCGTTGTATCTCCCATGGCCCTCCACCCCCCGCCCCCAGTTTCATCCGACCCTCCAAATCTTCGTCGAATTCGGACTGGACACCTTACCGGAAACAGTTTGCGTTATCTATATTATTTCTTTATATTAATTTGTTATTTATGTAAGTGTTTTATCCGAGTTATATGAATTGTGATTTATTAGCAGAAGAAGGTGAATTACTGAAAACAAGTCTTGTTCGCTCCGTTGCGTTCTATTTAAAATGTTTGTTGTTGGTCTGATGGGATGATTGCAATTTACATGAAGGAGAGCTACAAGGAATTCAATGTCTGCCGGTGATGAACACAACGTTAGTTTAGTGTATGATCTGTTCGATTTCACTGGATTTACAGTCAAATACAAAACACGCTAGGTGATGTTTTTCTCATTCCAAAAGGTTGTCAGTAATTTATTTGGTTAAACAAATGACACCTAGGGAGTGCTTCCTTGTGACGGTCAGTTTTCTTCTGATAGCAAAAGTGTTATATGAATTCTTCAAGGTATCACTGGAGAAAAAGCGCTTGTTTTTCGAAAGTCGTTCTCTCTTTTTCTCTTTGGGTTCCCGGGCACAGTTTCAAACCATTTGATATTAAGGTTCTGACAGGTCAAATTTTATTGGTTTGAATATTTCCCCACAAAAGAAAATGGTGTTGAAAGAATCTGCATGGAAATTTAATTTTATAAAAATAGAAGAGCTTGATTATCATCACAATATGTTTTGTGAATTGGGATAAAAACAGTTTGAAAACTAAAAGTTTCATATTTTGTAAATAATAAAATCCGGTCAATAAAAGGTCTTTAGGGCATACACTGTAACATGATCTCGTTATCGGTTTCAATCACCCATTTCACTATGAGACACAAACGATCTTGATCCACAATATGCCGTTGCCGTGACTTGATTTCACTCAAATACTTGCTCTCAAAATTTCCGTAATCTCTCTTTTAAACATTGAATGGAGCCCATTTCAACTGTTGTTCTTCTTAATTTTTTGTACAAATGATGCACCCCGTCAAGTGTCATTGTGTCTACCAGCATATTCCTGAAATGAGCTGCGTACATCATGCAAGATATATCGATATTTCTTTCCCCTTCTACAATTCTCTCTACTCGTCTCATATGAACCGTAGCTAGTTGTGCACAGGAGCTTGGTTTAGTATATTTTTGAAAAACAAATAGTTGAAATAATTGTTGTGGACAAAAGTATCATGTTTTTGATGCTCATTTCATTAAATGCGAAATGACTTTTGAACATCAAATGCTGGCCAAAACATTGTCGCTTTAATAATGTACGTATAAAATTGTAGCAACGTAAACTGCGGATTTCACTAAACCCACAGTGATTTACTTCCCTACAAAATGTTTTCATCCACTTACAGATTTCGAGTTCGTACATATATATTGGTTTCATTGCTCTCATTGGCCTTGTGCTCATCTCAGCGTATTTGTTTTTATATTGTAGAAACTTACTAATGCGAGGAAAGCCATCTGCCTTTGAGCGCATTATGTTGTTATTTCATGCTCATTATCAGTCACCACAAGAGCGCATACCTCGGCATCTGAAAAATGTGAGCTCTCCGGGACTTGTGTCCTCTTTTGATGTCATTCCAGCATCATCATATGAGATCGCACCGATTCTCCAGTCATCACACCGAGGGCTTCTTAACTTGTAATGTTTGCGCGTCAGGATTTGGAACGTCTGAATCTCATCATCCCTCCTCCAATCAGTAGTAGATAACCTCAGTTACATGTGGCAATAATTTGGAATCAACAAGTGCAGACTACCTTGTTTGGTTTAGACAGATGGCACATCAGATAATCCACTTCCTAATTTCCAATCCAAGAACCGATAAAATCAGCACCAGATTGCTTTTTGTTGTTCACAGCTACAGGAATGATTATTTATCATCTGAAATAAATGCGAGAAAACTCGTGAGTTGCGCATTTTTAGCGGTCCCTTAAATAAAAATTAGGAGTGATCAGGGAAGCGATCTGGAAACGAAATAAAACATTTATTTTCTGAGTCCATCTTGCTATACATTGCTGACAGAAAAGCGATAGAACAACATTAGTGAACAGCAAGCGGAATGGTCCAAGGTGTACTCTCTAAGAACCACTTTGAGTAATTGCGGATTCCAGAACTTTAATCATCTCAATACCAACGGATTTGAAAAGATATACTTCTCCCACAACAAATGTTGCATCCAGCTAACTCTGTCCTGATACTATTCAGAAATGATCACCTTATGGGAAATCCCTATAAACGGTTGCTAGATTTTCGGCTTCCGGAGTCAGAGTCAGGAACAATTTTCGCTCTTAAGTTGGTTAGAACTCCAAGGAACGATTTTTTCAAGTTGCAGCTCCGTGAAGCATTGAGACACCATACTGTCCAACACCGGCGAGTGAAAATGATTATTGATTACTCTATTATTTTACTTGTAATGCAAAACAGTGTGAAAAAATCTTCGGGGTTTCTTGAAGCTTCACTCGTGTAATTTACCCATTATTAAATTTCGTATTTGGAATTCCTCTCACGCATTTCACCTACTGGGGTGCCCCAAGGCTCACAGTAGATGGTGCATGTTGAATCCGTTTCTCTATTTAAAAAGACTTTCCCTAGTCATACTCAAAATTGCATGTACCTTTCCCCAGCTATCCTTCAATATCTTATGATTAGTGTCATTTCTTCCCTCTTCTTACTGGACGTGCTATGCCTAAGTTGACTCAGCGGGTGTATCGATCGGTCAGACAGTGTTCCAGTGATGCCAGTGATGCGCATCATCCCCGCTACTCCACGCTCTCCTTAATCGTAACACGTTTGGCATCCACCGGTCGACACACACTCTCACACAACATCGTTCTCTTCCATCCCGTGTATTTGATTGGTTGGCTGTCAGCCAGTGACCCTTGCGCACGTGTGCTTGCCATCTAAGGCATTCTGACCGTTGACTGATTGAACTGCACCTACCCGCAGTCGTTGAGTCGAACGATTTGACAGCCTGTCAAGGCTCCATTGGACACAGGAGAACGCTGTTCTGCTTTGATGCACAATCATTTGATTTCGCTTTGACAGTACAAATACATTCCCCAAATTACGTCATGGTTCGAGGTTTGTATCTATTCTACGGTAATCATTCATTGTCTAAAATAGTACCTCATTTCAAGACAATCTTGTCGTCTGCTGACTTCGGGGTTTGACCGTCACTCGATTTACAGGACGGATTTTCGGTGTGCAATCCATTTGACAGAATCTTCTCCAGAGTTTCTACAGGGCACTTGTCGATGTGGAAAGCTGATCTTTGGAGCTACTTACAATACAACTTATTGGACAATGCATCGTACCCAATGTCTTTTGGCATTTGAGAAAAATTCCTGACCATTCATTTCCTATTAGAACTTCTGGAGTATGGAGAATTTCCATTTGGACAACATCCGACCACAAGCGACAATTACAACAATATTGGAAAATTGGAAGAACAGTCAATATGCTCACTGCCGTTCCCAGTTCGGAAGCAAAGGTTTGAGACAAAATAATAGACCAGATCGCCAAAGCTAACACCATAAAATAAAATATATGTCCCTATACGTCAGAAAAAGTTGCATTCACGTATCGACAAAAATAGTTGCATTTCTTCGCCAAACTATTTTAACCATCATTTGGTGACGGGAGGTTCCATTAGCATCAAACGACAGACTAAAAATACTTCTGGAGAACCATTTTCCGGATTCTGAATTTCAAGTTGCACTCATATAATTGCCATTTAAGGCAAGGGTATTTGGTTGTTGATAAGAGCTAGTTTGCAAACTTTATTCACCCTAATTCATTCTACATTGCAACAGATTTCCCAATGTTCCATAAGCCTTACTACTTATTGTACTCGAACGCAAAATCTCCCATAATTTGAGTCATTGCATTAAGTGCTGTACACACTCCATGTTGGGGTCAGATGCAAAGGTTTCATTTAATCTGGAAGATATATTGTGAATCCCAAAAACCAAGATCGTTTACCTTGGCATACCTTGGGTGGTGTAACTTCACATGGATTCTAGAAAAAATAACTTTATCAAATTTGTTTTTATTACTCCTTAACAAGATATAACAGTGATAACAAAAACGGACAAATAATTAAATAGGCGCAGTGAACGGTCCAAGTATTTCACCCCTTTTTCAACCACACAAGTACTTCATAATGGTCCAATGGCACTTCTTTGCCTCCACTCGGAAAATACGCATTTTTATGTCCGGTGTGGACCTGAAAATAAAGAGTAGAAGTAGAACATTATACATCAACGAATTAGGGACTTAGCAACAGGTACTGATAACGTTTGAGATTTAAGAGTAAACCTGAACTCTGAATTAATAAAGTTTCAGTGGGCAAAGTATTCTTCAATTCGACATTGATCAGTGTATGTGAAAAGCTATTACAGCTGGCGACACCGGCAGTTAGTGGCTGCATGAGACATACTGTTGAGGTCTAGCTCGATAATCTCATGTGTGTGTGTGTGTGTGTGAATGTATAAATTCCGCTGCATCATATGGATCTTATTCTCGGGTTTCAGTCTCAACGAATTTGGTGGACACAGACTGCTGTTGCTTTCAACATCTGCGAATTATGCTACAACGACTTTAGGCTGTTCAAATAGTATTTAATCAAAACTTTTTAAACGATTTTATCGCTTTTCTTAGTCGTTCATCAGCGAATTCAATCCGTGACTGCTTGTAATCTAGAAGTTTGCTGAAACAATGTGCATCATGGGATATAACAACACACTGATTTTGAGGCACTCTTCATAGATGTATCTAGATCTGATTTCCTGAGGGAAAATCAAATTTACTCATGTGATATCTAGGACGATTCAACTAAAAGTGTCTATCCAGAAATGCGCAATACTTTCATCAACATAAGCAGAAGTTTATTCTAGTCTGTTTGTGCTGTTTCTCCAACCGTTGAACCTTTTCTGATTTATATTGACTTACATTTGATTGTTCTGCCAAATAACTTGGTGTAAAATCATCAGAAAATAGATCGCTTTTCTAATATCCCTAAATGTCTGTGCATTTTTACTCTGATAAACACTAAACTATCCTTTCTTGTATTTCCATGAACGCTGAAAAGTGTCAAACCACTGACAGTTGTTTTTTAATGTTGTGGTGGATTTAACTTATTTTGATTTTATTCTTGGCTTCTTGTTAGTGGGTCAGAACCTATTTAATACTCTTTCTGAATCTTAGTGACACCGGGACTCCAAACGAGAGGTAGTCTTGGTAGACCCAAACTGAAATAAAATGTTTTAGTTCTGACCTAAAGCTTGGGGCTAGGTAAACGGTAAGCAAGAAGTAAGGGCCTTAGTTTCCAGTTCTAATCTTTATGATTTGAGTCAGGATGTTTACGACACATCCAAACAAATGCAAAAGCAGTTATTCCATGCCACTAGATATCCATAACAATGCTTCTAATTAAACTGATCACCTACCTCAGGCTATTTAACGGCCCAAAGTTGTTCTAAACCTTGAGAAAAATGCAGGTGACTCAGATATCAGTAAAGACGAAAAGCTAGTGTTATTTTGAATACAGTACTTCGAAAAGTCAATTTTAAAACAAGAAAAAGAGAATGCTAAAACGTTGTGGGTGGCTCCAAAAGAGAAAAAGGGACAAATAGTTGCTGACAAAATTCGAAACAGAGACGTTTACAAAAACGCTAGAAAATCTTATTTACAGCAGAAAGATCTATGGATTTTATGTGAATATGTAAGCATCACAGAAATGTAGAACCATGTGATGCAAAGTTATTGACTCGAGGACCTAACCAGAACTCTCGTGGGTGGATCTCTGTTACCGGCCAAAGAGCGCACTGCGTCCATTAACTAAACTGATTGAATTTTCCATTCTTCGACTCAGCAACATAAAGCCAGCAAAGTGAAAAAGATGCTTGAATCTCTTTTGCAAATGAACCACTGCATTCCGTTCAGTTGAAATTAAGATAACGGGTAGAAAGTTTACTTTTCTCTTTTGAATTTTCATTACCAAATATGCACATATACTACAAATACACGAAATCCTTCACCAAGCTATTCCAGGTTGCTGATTAAAGCCTGTAACTTATAATAACCTATAATTCTATCTCTCTATCTTAGGCAACGCCATTGTTTGGAACAAACTAGATTGCATCCGTTTATCGTTGTACGCACATCGNAACCGGGTATCTAGGATGCAAATTATGAACTATTAGCCGAACTAGTTTTTAGAACTTATCAATGGTCGGATAGAAGTACAAATTGGCGCTACACAAACCGGGTCGCAGATCTGCATTAATCCAGTTTACAGCACTTGAAACACAAACTGCGTGATTCAATTCAGTGACCAGATCCACAGAAATCAATGAAATTCTGTATNTATGATAGAAAACAACGTTATCGATTGCGGCAATGAATGCTGACAACACATAAATATTAGACTAATTATCCAAAACGCGCATATACTGTAAAATGTCCAGAAATATACTAAAAGTTTAGGGTAATGTATTACTACAGACGGTGTAGTTATAGAGTTTTATTCAAGCCTAAACTGAGTAAATCAGTATATAAACATATGTATGCCAAATGACTGATGGATGTGTTTCATCAAAGGTCTTTCTTCATTAAAATGCAAACTCACCTTTCCGACCACTTTCTGACCGTTCATTTCAGCCCTGGCAATGTACACGGGCTGTCCGTCGCCGGCTATTGAGGCCACAACAGAATCCTTCGGTACGTGACCACCTTCGTCGGGCACCCATTTGTAACTGAAAATCAGTGAATGTGCAATTTGTGCTGGAAGTGTTTAGCTCAAGCAGGTTACAGGGTCGTGTCCATTTTTTCCCAATCCCATGAAGGTTAAATTGCGTTAAATATACAATTGCAGTGAAACGTCGTCCCAGCTGGTACTGACATTCTATCCACCTTAGTGGACAGAAGCCTGTTGTTGATAATCTCCGTTATTTATATTCTAAATACCTTCAGTGATACACGAGAATGAATTAAAAAATTGGCAGACACCTCCATTAATTCAAGTACACCAATAATTCATTGAATTAGGATGCAGCCTGTCTTGTTAGGGGCTGAATGTGTAGGTAATATGTTCGGTATGATGATCACAAGCAACGAGGTCATAGTAAATGTTTGGGAAAGAGCGGTGAGTGAAAGTGTTAGTTATCTGTGGTAAGAAAACGGCACTAGAATAAAAATGTGAATTATGACAAAGGAAGAGTTCTTTACAGAGAATATGGGACAATGACAATAATCGACCATTCTTACACCGGTACATGAAGCAGATCGCTTTGCTTGTACAACTCAGGTTTCGCCATACTAATTACGATGAATTTCACAGCAGCCAACATTTTACGTAATTCTTTTAGCGTGGTTCTTCGGTGCTGTGCAGATAAACGTGAGAACTGCCTCTAGACGAGTCGTGTGTTTAGTGTCACTCGGATGTTGCAGCGTTGAGTGGTTTGAGTTTCGCCCCAGTTCTTTTCATTCACTCCTCTCTTCACTTCCTTTTTATCGATTACTTAATTGCGTACACCATGTTCAGGTCGGGAAGAGACTAATTAATTGGCTCCCAAGGGTTATGTGGGAAAACGAAGTATGGACCACGGCAAATAAATTCTAGCAGGTAACTGCCCGGGCAATGGTTATCAAAACTGCTTGACCACTGCAGCTAATTTGCTGAAAATTCGATATACGTGGGATGTCCTGTTCATTTTCTCACTGTTTTAACACTACGTTTGCCATCTGGAATCTTTTTCGGTCTTAAATCATATGTCAAACTTTTTTCCTCATCTCTGTCTGTTTTGCTTTTCCAGCTTCATGTCCAGTGTTTGAGATCCTTTTACATCGTTCACATACCATGCACTTCTTGCGCACCGTGTGAGGAAATTTGCTATCATCCTTACATCATTGCGGTTGAAGATAGCCAGTTGTTTGTTTATCCTCATCTATCAACCTTCCTGTTGAAATGTATGTCCTTTTGCCGTCCACGCTTAGCACTTCGCTGTTTCAATGTTTCTTTCTCTATTTGAATCACTAACGATTACCTGTAGTTCAGTGCATTGTTTAAACCTCTATTCAGTTCCCTTTTATTGTCACTCCCTAGTTGTTCGCACATTCCTTGTCCGCTGGTTAGAGGAGTTGGTCTCTCGAGAGAACGCACCGCATCCAAGGCATTCCCGTATAAGTGCAGACCCTCCTTTGTTTGAGTGGCTGATACAGCTCGTGTTGCTGTTCTGTTGGGTTGTTATTGTAGAACCGCATTTACACCGAATACAACTGGTTGTTTTATTTGGGTTCGCTTTGGACCTTGCGCGTATCTCTATTGGTAAAATAGGTATTTTTTATGTAGAGATTGTGAAAAGTACAATAGCTTCAGTAGGATTTTAACCCACGCATGGACGCCGCCTACGCTTTTGTACAGCGCACACTCTACCAGCTGGGCTACGAGGCCACTGATCTTTTTACATCCGAATTACCCATCCAACTTACAAAGGCATATGGCATCCACCAGTTAGCGTGTAAGCTTCAAATCTGCCAAACAACAATTTTAAAAATAGGGGCTATTGGTGTCCGTCATCAAGAGCACTTCAAATGCACGCAGATTAAAAGAAAAAATGATCGGTAGTGATGATCAGTTAATTTCATCATAATGTGTTGAACTCAGAGGCTAGTGCAATAATACGACTCTCAGTTGTACAAAGGGGAAAATTAGCAGTGGCCTTTAATTTCGGATGCTTTCTTCTTAGTTGTATTGTATTGTATTCTGTACAACTTTACAAGCGCTGAAGCCTTCATGTTAATTAAAAAACATACGCCAACCGTCACAGAAAACACGTGCAACTTTGAAGAATGTTTCCAGATATAGGGATATCTCATAGTCTAAGGTTAAGACAAAGTTCATTTGTTATCCTTTCTGTTTGTGAGTAAGCTTGCAAGATGATGATGGATGATCAGGGTCTGTGAGAACCTTCTCCGCAAATTTCACATGGAAAGTTATATGATAGTATGATAGATTTACACCTAACTCATTCACAGGAATAGAAGAGACGCTAGCAATAATAGTTAGACTGCGGTGTAAGACCTTGAAAGCCTATTTGAGTGAGCCAGGGAAAATAACTGGGGAGAACTAATGTAAGATGGGGGAAACATACTGATACAAATGGTAGAAACATCTGACTAGGATGCATGAAGCTGCATGAGCTTTCAAATTTGAAATGATAGGTGTCGCAGTTTACCAATGCCGTTATGGATGTGGACTGAACAACGAATATTAACATCAAAATATGTGACAGAGTTCACCTTAGGACTGTTTTTTATCAATGTGGGATCTTCCGGGAAATAAGTGTGCAAAACTATAAAACATTGAACACATTAACTGGGGCTCGAGAATAGTCCCGACTGGGATACAAATTACTGAATTTGAGCAATATTCTCGGTGAAGGAGCAAACAGACTTAACAGTTATTAAAATATTTGGTGAAAAAATGAAGACTGCATCTAAAGTAGATCTATTAGGCTTGTAAGCAAACTATGAAAGACCGTCGGATGTGTTTATAGACTGCTGAGGGCGATTAGGGATAGTCTGTTCAGTCAAATTAAGAGTTGAAGATGTTAACGCTATAGGACGAAAACGTCTGGAGACAATAGAATATTTGGATGTTTTGAGGATGGATATGATAGTGACCGACCTCCAGCAGTCGGGGATGGTAGAAGTGCAAGGTGATTCGTTTACAGTGAAGGTGATTGCCACAGCTAGAGTAGCAGCACCAAACTTGAAGAGTGCCGAAGGTAAACCATCCGGGCCACTGCATCTTGATGCCATTTGAGTTTACTCTTAATTACCACTTCACTTCATTTTTCAGAGGACATTTCTTATTTGGCTCATCTACAAATTCTTTTTGCTCTGCGGGCTAAATAGCTCAATAAATAACTTTTGTATCTGAAATTTAGCAAACTGTGAAAATTACAATACTTTCATCTTCATGTAACCTTATGGCATATCCGCTTCTCAATTTCGTCATCTTCTGTTCAGAAGGCGAGAGAGCATCTTTGTTCTTCTACCTCCTTCGTGAGTAGGATATTCGGCTGAGTGCTGTTAAATCGCTGGAACAGTTTGTCAACGTCTCTTGTGGAATCGTAATAGATAATGCTTAATATATTTATATATATCTAGTGTATAGTTCGGTTGATCTGAGTTTATCATTTCCCTTGTATCAAACCTTTTTGTGGAGCTAAAAGTTGTACTCAAGTTTGGTTCAAAAGCAGCTGAAGCATAGCATGTTCAAATCGACACGGAAACTAAAATCGAAGGGCATTCTGCGTATAGTGGGTTATTGCAAAGACCAGAAAAATGTAACGACTGAGACGACTGAGACAGAGAAGCAAGAAAAAGACTGAGCTCAGGATTGGTTTAAAGAACTGCATTTTTAAGTATGCATATAAAATAATCTAGTGGAGCTTACCATTTACCACATTGAATCCCGGTCACGCACAACACTTGATAAACTGAGTGTGGATGTTCACCACCACCGTACGGGATAAACGTGTGCTTGGTAGCTGGGACGAATTTCCCTGGGACGAACTCGTTTTCGTGAATCGCTCTTGCCACATACACATCTTGACCGATACCAAGTGCCCCTTCCGGGAGGTATCCGTCAGCCGCAGTTACCCAGGATAGTGTCAATTGCCAACCAGCGCCACATTTAGCCATAGTTGCTCACTCTGCAATTGTGAAAACAGATCACGTTAACCAGAATTTATTTAGAGAGCGAAGATTTATCATCAGTGGCGAAGAATAACTGGCGACCCTGAAGCACAAGACAATGAAAAATGCGTATCATAACGGATTATTAATTACTATCTATCTATCTATCTATCTATCTATCTATCTATCTATCTATCTATCCATCTATAGATTTATCAATTCATGTCTAAAATATTTGGTAAAGCAAACGACCTAAAGAAGAGTAGTTAATCGTAATAGATGATTCTTCATAGTTTGCACTTTTCAACTGATGTATGTCACCTCAGAAATATCATTCAACTAAAAGGTAAGTTTGTAATTGATTAGTTTTTGAGGTGACATGAAAGCATCATTGTGAGGGGAAAACTATTATCGGATGACCGTAATTCCTTTGGAGTGACCCACTACTAGTAATTCACTTTTAGGAATATTTTGACTGTTAGGTAGACACGGCATCATCAACAAAAACTTAGGAACATGTTCGCATGACTAGAGCAATCACAGCAATACCCAGTGGTGCACCATTGCGGGAGAAATTACCACATCATCTAGAAATAAACGGGCCACTAGTGCAACAATGTGTATAGACAACCAGATACACATGCATAACTCCGTATAGAGCACTACGTTTCTTCATTGTGTTGTATTGTATTGTTATAATAATGGCATTAGAATACCAAACTTCTCGTAATTAGCGTCTGAAACGGGTCAGTATTCAGTTTTCTAAGTAAGCTTGTTCACTGGATTGTGTTCTGTTCAAAATGTGCGCTGCTGATCTAATGGAACAAGCTAATCCCTTCTGACAAAGAACTACGTAAGTGTGAGAACGTTTCGCTGCATGCGTACAAGAATTCATGAATATTTAGGAATGGATCCGAGTAGATGTAGCATTTTAAAAGTACTATCAAATCAAAGCAACTGTTCAAGCTGTTTCGTTTAAAATTAACAAAATCAAACATTTATTTCAGCAAATAAAATAGCATCGAAGACAATGACGGAAATAGTCATGAGTATGCAATTGCGAGTTGGGCTAGTGCCCGCATTGGAACACGAATAACAACACCAACAATAATAACAAAAACAAAAAAAGAAAACACTAAAACGAGAATAAAAGGAGGAAGGGTGACCTGAATGGCAACGAGACTGGATTGTTCATTGGGTGACAGTTCTCATATGGCGTCTCCTGCGCTCTTGACAATGGATTTGGTCTCTAGCACACTGCTTATGACCCAATGGATTCACCAATTGCTGAAATTCTTGTTCTAACCGTGTTGACTGACAGTACTAAATTCTAAAGAGATAAGCGGTCTAAGGAAGATGTTTAGACAAAACTTTCTTCGGTTTGATGGAAAAACGACGATGAGCTTGATTACTTGTAAAGGCTTCCTGCATCTCCAGAATTGCATTTTTCTAAGACTTCAGCTTTTCAGAAACCGCGCGTATTTTAAAATAATTATTTATCTGATAAATTGTTATTTTACACTAAACTGCTTCACTTATTGGAACATCAGATTTACCTGAGGTTCTGTAACGGGGGTTGTTTTGTCGTATCAATAATGCTATGCCGTTTCCAGGGAGAAAATTGATATCCAAACTGAATGCTAAATTGTAAAGCTTTGACATCTTTTAACAGTGTAAATATTAGCGTCAGTTTGTCTGAAACTGTTGCCATGATCATCAGTATATTGGTCGGCGTTTTCTTCTGAAGAGGTTTTACTTTAAGCGGTGCAGATGTTTTATGGGAGATCATTCACTAACTCATTGGATGGGGTTCCAAACGTTTTTCTGAACGTCTGATATGGAGGATAGCTCCGTTTAACTTGAACCTTCGGAATTTGTTTGGAACTGCGTTTATCTTAATGTGTTGTCTTCAGATCTAGTTAGCTATACCAAAGTTTATAACACCTAATCACATTATTTCATTTTTACAACAAATCAGTCGCTGAAATAATTCCCAGTTTGGTCAACACTGTTCAATTCCCTTGACAATAGGTGACAATTCTATAAAGACAATCTATCAATCAGAGTCATGTGTTTAATGAATGGAATAGGAGTAAACTTTAGTCACAGTCATTCTAGAGTTTCAGAGTCCCAATATACGAGGATGAATATATGTCAAAATTAGGGGATATTGGAGATTTAGGAGGACTACATATTGGTTTGCATATGCGAGTTAAATCTAAATATAAAAATAATGCACGAAATGAAATATTTAGTTAAGATAAATCACTAAGAGCATCGACCTTAGAAACACTAGGGTCGAGAAACGTACTTTTATTGAGTAATAACAAACGGGGATTGAAATACTCCACACTGAGATAAAATGTGATCTTGAACAACATAACCATCTAGACAACGTGTTCTCGTCCTCGTCTGTCTGTAAATCAGTGAGTTTTTATATTCAGTACCAGAACCAGCCAATCACAACGAGTTCGGAAATACTACTGATATGATTGTGATTTATAGGACAACGTCATACCCCGATCAATCTACTTTGGTTGCTTCTCTGCAATCTATTTTAGGATCTAGAAGAAAACTTCTGTGGTGCTAAGTAACCTAAATCCGTTGCATACGAGCGGGTCTTTTTGATTGAATTCATTTATCTAAGAATACGCATCAGAAAAGATTTTTAGTCAATGCAATCAGCCATTGGAGATGCGGACCATGAATTGTGTAGCCCAAGATTAGCGCAAGCACTCCCAGCGTGAAGATTCTGCATTCGAGTCCCTGTAAGGATATCATATTAGGGCAATACTGAAAAGACCCAGCACTTTATTTTAAATTCACGAGAAAACAATTTTTGAATATTTAGGCAGACAAAACAAACCACCGAAACCGTTCTTTCTTAAGATCAGCATCAGTAAGTGCTCAGCTCCAGCGGTATCAGCGGTATCCCGCTGAGACTTCATACATCCGGGGATCAATTGCTGTCCATTGAGAGGTCGATACTTTCTCAAGAGAGTGAAGTATGGGTGCAATATCATGTAATGTTGACATATACCAACCTTCTGAAACTTATCTGGGATAGCCTACGTTGTTGGCACGTCAGACTCACAACCTCCTGTACGCGGGATCTAATCTGAGTAGTATTGATGGATATGCGCTGCTGAGGAGCACCGACGAGGATGAAACAAATGTGTGGTGCTTCCAAAACACTTTGGTGGCCTGGAACACGTTGACTTTGATTGATGAATACACTTAGCTAAATGCAGGTGAATTTAGTTGCAAGGATTCAAGCAATGTATCGTAACTATAAGCTTTAACAAACATTACCAACAAAAATAAGTGTTTTTGCAGAATTGAATCGATTACGGTGCTTCCAAATATCTCGAATATATGCTGAAGCCTGTACATTACTTTATCGAGTGTTGGAAAAATCGGTAAATTGCACTGTTTTTTCTCAACGTTTGGTTATTAACATATTTTCAGACCGCTCTTTTCATACTTTCACGTGCAGTTCCAAATTGAGAGGTATACTTTGTAATTCAACGACTAATTGTGCAACCCCTAGAGAAAAGCTTTGTTTGAATCGTTAAAGTTGTATTTTTACACGAAATCTCACAATGCCACAACTATAAAACCTATCTTTTATCAAGTTTCAACAAGGGGAATATTCGTCCATCCTAAATATCTCCCGAGGCGGTGATAGTGTTATTTTTCAAAACAGTTTATGGTCAGGCAATAAGTATCCAGTTTCCATACTTTTTGAAAGACAGAAGGAAACTACCTTCGCTATAAACATTCCAGTAAAAAAGAGAAAGAGAAAGCGCTCACCAAAGCAAAAATGATCAGGATTAGTTGTAGTACCGGAACACTTTTATCTCCAAGGTAGAGCCGCGCTCGTTCAAATGCAGGCGGAAAATGTTCAAATGAATGTTTCAACTTGCACTATAGGGTTATCTAGTGGCTGAATAACACTAAATGGGAATTCTAAGTTTCCTTTTAGTTAATAAAAAGTGGATAGCCTGCGTGCAGTGGAGGGATAAATAAAGCACAAAAATGAATCATACCTTGATGTTTCGGATAATGAGATTCTAAGAAACAAACGAAGTGCAAAACGTCAAACAGTAAAATCCGTAAAAAAAGCCAAAAATGCGATAAATTTAAAGTGATAGGGGAAAATTAGATCTGGGGACCTCCAAAAACAGTGGTTCGTCAGCAAAGGGCGAGCTCTGGGCTAAATATAGGGTGGGCTTCTTCTCGTGGCTCACTCAGAACCGGAGGTCGTGGAAACCAAGGCGGGCTGGCAAAACTCGGACGACCGAGAAAATATGAGATAGCATGCCGCAAAGAAAGAACATAGTGCAGACTGGTTAGGCTCTCTGCGCTCATTTGGAAAGCACGATTCATGAGGACACTTCATTGATAAGTCGATTAAAGAAAGGGTTGATGAAGTCTGATTGGAGAATTTGCAAAATAATTCTCAGATTAACTGAATAAGGTCCCCAATATCATTACCAGATTGATCTCTGAGTCCAGACAAAAAATCAAGAAACTTATCAATCACAGTGAAATCCGTATCTTTGAAAATGGGAAACATCACAGTGGAGCAATAAAACCAGTAAGGGATAAGAAAAAATGCGAGGAAAGTATGATAAATGACCAGGAAAATTCCATTTTCTATATCTTTATTCACCTAAAAATGCTCAACAGACCTCAAAAAGAAGAACTGAAGCCTCCTGTGCACAGTGTAAAGCTGGGTGAACTTGTTTGAACATTCTATGAGAGGGTTACGTTTTTTCTCGTGGTTGAATTAAGAACGTTCAACAATATAGCAAAATATTTTTTCTTTTTTAAAGATTCCTCATAATGCAGTTTACCAACATAATAACAAATTTATCTTTTGGAAGAATAATATAAACCGTTCCATTTGAGCATGTTCACTTCGTACTATCTTTCGTGCATTTTAAAGATAAATCGGACTCGTTTGTGATGAGCATCACCTGCGAGGCCACATGATTTTATTG